TTAGTATATAGTCGAATTATTTATATTGTAAAATTATGTAATCATTGAAATACAATACTGATCACAAGCCATAGATAACAAATGTAATGTTAACAATTCATAATGCAGAGCAAAAAGTAAGGACGTTGGCATTATTAAAATGACAGTCGACCATATTGTATTTCAAAGTCGTAGCAAGTCAATGTAAAATACGACAACCGCTCAAACATTAAAATATCAAAACAGACGAAGAAGAAGTTATAGAAGAAACAACAGTGTCGCCGCATATAATAATAGTGACAGAAGTACCTTTAGTGGGCATACCGCCAGTGAACGATTCAAATATTTTTATACAGTATTTAACACGTAAGTTTATCGCATTTTTATCTTAGTTTCAGGTCCAAGCAGTGCAGATGTAACAGCAATATATAGAACTATTAATACATTTGTTTGAAAACAATGGACTTTAAAAATATTCACAATTGCTGAAATTGTAATCGAATTGAGTTTATGAAAGTTTAAATAATTTCTTTAGGGTATTTTCTTCAAGCCTACCCTGTGTGTTATTATAATTTATAAATTTAAATGTGTGGTGTCCGATAAAAGCAGGGCCAAATTTGGTAAAGAAGCAATTTTATCTCATTCATCTCTAATTCACTCCTAACCTCAAATATAAACAGCCCAATTCAAATACCTATAGAACTGCTTTCGCTAGCTACACGTTAGACCTCTCTTAAAACACTGACCTACATAAGTAACGAATTAGTATTTGACAGTTTAATACGGTACTCGTGAATAGAACCTTTTGAATAGGAATGGTGTTCGTAATTTATAGCAAATAAGCCACTGACTGTAGCCTCATATTTGCCTGGTATTACGGGTGTATTTGTATCATTGGCCGCGACTCTAACTGTTTAGAATGGTCACTTTGTTCAGCACCAACTCGTATCATTAAATAAAAACAGTTAATTATCATTAAATATTTTAATATCATTTTCAAACAGCTATTAATATTATTGAATTCCTTATGAATCACGAATTTTAGGTCAGAATTTCAAACGCCCTACTTCTATCATTACATAGTATTGTTGAATTTTAGTCTGAAACGAGGCATGAGCAAAATCTATTTACTAGTGATTGTTAAATTAGGCCATTCAATAGAAAGGGCAAACAGGAGCGTGAAATTTTTGATTGAGACTCGGCTGTTTTGAATAAATCAATGGATTTCTATACATCCATGAATACTAATACACTTCGGTGCGCGTAGGCAAATATGCACATATGAAGCGCACTGCATGGAATATCTTATACATGGGATACATATTTAGAGACAAAAATAAAACATTGAACTCTTCGTTTTCTACTTAAGGACTGCGTGCTATTAAATAGGTATCAAAGACAGATATTTAATTAAATGTATGAGATTTACAAAGTCGTTAACCTCTATTTCATAACAGAAAGGCTTATACAAGCTTAAAATATAAATATCAAATGCCAAAATAGATCAACAGCACATCTAGTTTAAATGTATATCGTCCTCTATCGTCAAACTTAAAAGTAAAATTCTCTGGCCCTGAAACATTTAACTGAGATCAATAAACATTCTATTCTAGTTTCGAGTTTTTATCTTGAAAATTTATAATTATAATATCCTTATCGAATCCTTGTGTAATCCTTAGCTTGGTGCAATAATTCCACAACAACTGTCATTGAAATTCGAGCCGCGTCTGCAATTTGCATTTTTCCCATATTCACCTGCTTTAAATGAACAGAGCATTAAAAGTTCGCGAATTAATCGCCGGTCGAATTATATGTTATCGTTCCCTGAATAATTCGGCACGTTACAAAAAGTGATTACAATAAATACCATATGATGAAGTGTGGTGGCTGCGGTATTGTGATGCATGATATCATGGTTATAGACGATTTTGATTGCGTCCCTCCTATATTGGTAATTTGACTGCAGTAAATAATAGTCGAGTGGTTTTCATACGCTTTATTTTCACGTATCGCCATTGTTATGTAACTGTACTATCCACTATACTTGTAACAATTCCATTTACAAAATTTTGATGATAATCCACTGATAGTGGGTCCTATTTCTACACGTTTCTATAATCAATTTATGTTTTAGTTACTAATTGTTTTTCTAGTTACTTGTTAGACTTCTTTTAAATTTGATGGTAACATGCAGATAATAAGTTTAAATTTACATTAGTAGGTTGTGTATCAATTTAAAGCAGTGGTAGAAAGCACAAAACTATTGTTCTAAAAAGCCATAAAGTTTTGTTGTTGTGTTAAGATTTCAGTCTATGGATTTCTAAAAGTCCAAAGCCAAAATAGATCAGGAGCGCGTCTTTATCGGATGCTATAGGTATATATTGCTGAAATATTTTACCTTCCATCCAGTGAAACGCATGCTGCCATTGTAATAAAATAAAATCAGTTTATGTCCATTATTTAAAGTAACGTATTTAAAAATAATATTGTATTGTATCGACTGATATTATTTTGTACTGTATCGACTGATACTAACTATTTTGGAAACTATCTTAACATTAGAAAAAATGTATTCCTCTTTAACTGAACTTTACAATAAAACTGTTTTATATTCTCAAAATAAGTGTTACAGCATTCAGAACTCTAAGATGAATGTATCGACTAGTTCCGAGAATAACGCAGTTAACAGTTCACAGCCGTCCGCGCAAAAATAATAACGGCTGACACAAGCTAATTAGCTAAGTTCGAAACAAATTACAGCGAAGCAGTGGCGACGCTCTGTGAAGGAATGAACTTTTGCCCTCTTGACACGGTATTGACCCGGCCTCGTGTATTTGCTGTGCTGATGGCGATTCAGCGATAGGCATGCGTTACTAATCAATTTTCCATTTGACTGTTCGTAGAAGTACGAGGCTTCTTTTGCTTGATGGAATGAGTTATTACTTTTTACCTTCAACATACACTACGTTTTCACTTGCAAACTTCAATTACTTACATGCTACGTAGATTGGATGTAAATAACATTATATCTATCATAGACATTGTCTATAGATTACGCGAGTCGAACATATTTAAAAAGCACTTTTGACGGTTCTAAACGCAAAATACTTGAACGCACCCTTAATAAATTAAAAAATAATTATAAATTGAAAAAGTTACGACTCGGGCAGGACTTCAACCGGGTTCTAGAGCGCTCCGGACTGGAGCTCTAACCAATTAAGCTACCGATTCCTAGACGTCATCGTCGATTTTTTTCAATTTATTAATACATGCATTGCTCGCGCAATGTAATGTATACCTTAACTCTTGCGTATGAAGGGTCAATGTCTTATTCTTTATATCTTAAGAAAATTATCATAGATGAAATTACATAATTAAATTTTTCACTTTACAATCATTTTTTTAGTTATATCGCGTCATCGTGTGAAAATTTAAATTACAACCCAACGTTTCGGATGCAATGCAACAGACGTTGTCTTCTTGATATTGAGCGTTTGAAACCGTTAAGAAGGCTTTTTAATATGTATTGTAGTTTCATTGAACACGTATTGCCTTAACAAAATAAAACTGGTATTTATTTATTTATTTACAACAATTAAAACGGCAATAGCCAGTTACATTAATTGGAGACACATACTTAAACAATAACAATTAAAAATAGGTTATTACAAATTACATTAGGAGATCATTTCAAAGGCAGACAATTCTTTTAGTATTGTTGACCAATCATCTGCGAAGAGGTCACATTTGGGTCTTAACTTGAGGAGAGCGTTGAGTGAGGTCAAAATTCGCGGTATCGGCGAAAACTCACGGGCGGAGGTGCGACCTTTTGGGACGTCAAACAAATCGTGTCTCCTAGCGCGGCCATAGTTGTCCGGAACAAACAGTCGACAAAAAGCTTCCCTCAAATAAGGATCGTCGATTTGGTTTCGAAACAACTTACAGGCTATAGTTAATTGGCCACGAGATCTGCGACTTTCCAAAGAATTAAAACCAAGCTGTCCTAATAAAATATGATATGATAAAAGATTAAAAGTCTCAACAATGCATTATTTTATCGAATTACCTAGTAGTATCATTCTTCAGCAAAATCAAGTTTAATAATTGTCGAGTTAAATTTCATATATTAATATAAAACTCGGAATACCTGTATAGTGAATGGAATCTACAGTTAAATTAATTAGTGACCTTTGGCTTTGCAAACGTACAGGCTGTAATCTGCGGAACGGCGAGCGAAATCGCTGGATGCACCAATTTAATTTCACACACAGCGACGTCTAGGCGCCGCGTAATTTAATCCGGCCACCGCGGATAAAAAATGCCCGCGTTTTATTTGTACGCGCACGTCGCGACGCTCAATTCAATCCGCACACACGAAACGATGGGTCAGACTAGAGTTTGCTGTAGGTATGTTAGATTGATCGACGTTTGTTACTTGAAAATATAACGTTTATTTAAGACTTGCTAAGGGAATACAGATCTGCAATGAAAAACTATAATTGGTGAAAATGATTAGATAACAATATGTGCCTGCGAATTTAGAAGCTAATTATGTTAGTCGCCACCGGTGGTTGCAAAAAAACTCATTTACTTAATAATAAATTTAATAAAAAATATTACAATAATTAATTCTACTTGCCTCCCTGTGCACGATAGATTAGTTCGACGCTTACAATAATTCTAATCTATTTCTTATACTAAAATGGTTACAGCAACAGTAGCGTCACATACCGATCGCACGGGTATCGAATACGCGCACTATCAGCAGTTTCCCCGTAGTGGCACAGCTTAGGGCTGTCGCCTAATAAAGTGCAGCTTAGGGCCGGCACATAACAAGCTAAACTTTTTCTTTGTGTTATGCCATGTCTATAAATTAAAGCTTAGTTCTTTAGACCTTTTAAAAATAACTATATATTTTTTTGTTTTGTCTTTAATTATAAAAATTCTTTAAGTTACGTATTTGTCACATTCGATCTTTTAACAACAATGTCGTCCCGTTTTCGTAATTTTGTCTTGCACAAATGCCGCCTAAACCCAATCCGTCACTTGGACAAGGTTAATTCGTCGAACAATTCACACAGCCTCGTCATCCCTATATAATTGGAAGCGCAGTCATTAAGCGCGAGTGTCGCCGCGAATATAGATCGAGTTTTTATTTGCGGCCGGGGCGAGAATTATGTACCGACCGCCCGATATGAATTGTTTCACCGCTTTTTTAGATCTCCAATCTCACAATCTCGACGGTGTCCGTTCTATGAATATTTTAACTCCTGTGTGACGGGAAAATACGTTGCTTCGTTTATTAATGTCACATTGATCGCAGCCGATCGTCGCTCCTGGGATTAGCCCCGAATGTGTATAGAGAACTAAATGGGATTTCATTTTCTAGTTCAGGAATCAAACGCTCCCGGCGGCGCGTGTCCAATGTTCTCGAAGTCCCTTTAGACGTTACGTTCGGGTTCGTTTCACGATTCGAGCTAAGGCGGCGGTCTCCTATAAACGCCGCAGCTCAGCTCTATATGAGACCTCGGCCTTAATCCGTAGAAATTCACGTGTCTTCGCGCTCTCGTATAATTGTTTCGTTGCTCGGCGCGCATTTTTCCGCAAGATAATGCCATTAATCTCGCTCGGCGTAATGAAAATGTACCGCGGCTCTCTAATGCAAGATATTCGCCTTCTGAATTTTCGCAGCGTCGTTATTACACTAGAGTTTTATATAATTAAGCGGTAAATTTGGCTATCATTCACTTTGATCGCATACGTATTAGCGTATTGTACGTTGTAGCAAGCCATAAAAGTCAATACTAATACTGTGTTATGAATGATGTTAGTATTGTATACTTACTTTAAATATTGTCTGTAGTTTACGCGAGTAGTGCACATTTAAATAAAACACTTTAACGGTTTAAAACGCGATATATTAGTTAAACATATTTGAAAATGATATTTAACCTCGGCCCGACGTTTCGGTTGCTTTGTCTCCCCGTGACCACTGCTGCTACAAAGTATCCGAAACGTCGGGTCGAAGTTAAAAATTATTTTCAAATAAGTTTAACTAATATATCGCGTTTTAAGTGTTTTATTTAAATACCTACTTTAGTTAACTTAGATTAACGTGAAATTATTTATGGTCGCTTTACAATATTCAGATAAAGGATCCAAGATTTCTTAATTTATTCACTGTGTAAAATTGGATCGAATGAAGGTAACGAGCGGCCAGTAAAGTTTAATCATCAGGACCCAAATAATTCGTTGTACGGATACCTGCTTTTATCCTGGGACACCACGCATTTATATTTCAAGTCTTTTATCTACTATCTCGGGTTGTGCTTATTTCACCTTAAATTATTCCTCTCCTTAGCGTTTCCCTCCTAATACCACATTTAAGTTATTTTTGTTGTCTTTGCGTTAAGGTTTTACGTTTTTTTAGTATTATGTATTAATTTGTGAATCCTTGTTTTATTTCTATCTTATTAAGGTTTCAGTTTTTGTAAATCTTAACTTTATTTGGTTTGTAATAAGGTTTGATCTTCTTCGATCTTCTTAGCATAACTTTCTTTGTTCATTGACTTTTAGTTTGATTATTTTAATTAACGTTCTATAGTTCAAACGATGAATTTTATCATTTTAACGTATGAAATTTGTTTGTGTGTTCACAGATCCTCCAGAAATTACTATACGGCCTCGTAACCTGCAAGTCCGAGCCAACGGTATTGCAGCCTTCTACTGTGCCGCGCGCGGCGACCCCAAGCCGAATATACAGTGGAGGAAGAACGGAAAGAGAGTGTCAAGTGAGTTGACAAAAGATGAATTATTTTAAGAAAGATTTCAAATGTCATGCATTGTTATATGTGTAGCTCAGTAGGTGTAATTTGATGGGCTTGTTGGTGTAGTGATAGCAATGTGAGGCTAATATTCAACGGGTCGTGGGTACGATCCCTGCCAGGTCCAACATTTTTCTAATCAATTCATAATTTTCTGAAACATGTTGGACTTTTCCTGGAAATCTGGATATTAAATGGATAATATGAATATCGAATTATGATAGTGTTTGTGCAGGAATTTTTAAAAGTAATATTCGTAATTTAAAAATCGATAATAAATTGAAAAAAAAATCGACTCGGGCATGACTTGAACTGGCACCGTCAGCGTTCCGTCCTGCCCGATTTAAAGATTTTTTCAAATTATTATCGATTTTTAAATTAAACAGTGCCTTCACGTGCAATATCATGTAAAAAATAATAAAGTTCTCAAACGTTTCAAAAAATAGAATAGAGCAGATCTACATCTAATAAATTATAATTCGGATACCGCGTAGTATCGAATATAGCTTAGATTCCTTGAATATTAGTTGCCAATTAATGACTCGTGGTGTTGTCAAATGTCCTGCCCGAATAAAGTGCGTAAAACTCGCGGTCGAGGGATTGATGTAAAATTATTTCTCGTACACAATTTTCACATGACACTTTGATGCCGAAAAGCGGTGCCCTAGAATATTCGCTTCATTAATTTTTAAATGTCAAAGGTTCATATGTCAAGAGTTTGCATATGGCCGTGCGGATACATCATCAAAGGATTTAATTTTTCAGTATAAAATAGCATAAAAAGTTGGTGTAAAGGTGTGTCAATGTAGATAATGTTATAGGCAAGGTTACATTATAATTTATTTATAGTATTATAAAGCTGAAGAGTATGTTTGCTTGAACGCTATGATCGCAGGAACTACTGGTTTGAATTAAAATTTCTTGTTTGGTAGAGCATTTACTTTTTTTATACCAATAGGAGCAAAAAACAGTAAAAATGTGAAAAAACGGGGGAAAATATACATTTTTGAGGGCTTGCATGCACTGCCAAAACGGTTTAAGACACCAAAAATTTTGTATAAAAGCATCTCCTTAAATAACTACTAATTAAGACTATCACGAACTAAATTAATAATATTGCGCGATTAAAACCGTTAAGTGTTTTTTTTTTACAACATATTTTAATAGATAAATACAAGTCCGTGTCCAAAAGAATCGACCACCACTCCAGTCATAACATCCAGATGTGATGAGCATACGAGGCGCGGGTCCCCTGCGTGATTGAAATGTAAAAACGGCGTTTTTCGCCCATAAATATGTGCGGCCGGTAATGACGGCCATAAGCCCGAGCCAATGAGGTGGAAAAACGTATCGCCACGCACGCAACCCCCTAATCGACCCCCATTCTCCCGAATAGTTCGATCAGCTATGAAAAATGTAACGCCATATCTATGATCTATCATCGGAGTGCGGCCTTGGCCAAGCGCGAATACAAATTTACTCTGGGTTCCGTAACATTTTTCCTGTTTGTCATCTCTGATAATACATTAGTTTTTCACTAATTCATGTAACAATTAGAAGGCTTGTATGGTAACGGATCATGGGTATAATGTTCAAACATTAAATGAAGATGTCGACCTATTTTAGCTTCACACAGTCAGATTTTTTAATGTATCATAGCATCCGAAACGTCGGGCCGTAGTAAAAAATAATGTTTAAATAAATTTAACTAATATATATCGCGTTTTAAACCGTTAAAGTGTTTTATTTAAATGTGTACAACTCGCGTTAACTACAGACAGTATATTATATCAGCTCTTCTTTATATGCAAAACAAATGCCGTACTATAAAGTTGTTACAGTAACATTTCTCTATTGCGTGATAAGTTTTAAGTTTTTATAACGCTTCGTTACTACCTCCGTACTTAGTTGTATCGTGTTCCATGTTACTGTCGATTTAATTATTTGATAATTATTTCAAACAGCTCAAACGCGAAAAGCAGGCATAAAAGTGTAAATATGAAATACTAGGGCCGGTGCTAACAAGAATACTGTAAATATACAACCTACATTATTTATGTTAACGCTGCAACGTTATTTATCACCACTAGATGGCGCTTTTCAGACCAATATCAATCTGGATTTTACCTCACGTTACGCATCCCTAAATGCGGTTACACCTTCTCGGCATTAATATTATATAACCTCAATCAAACCATCCGATTTGTCTGTCTGTCAACTTCTATCTGGATGATGGATATCAGTGTTGTATTGTCACGAGCAGAATGGACACAGTTCTGAGAGTGTGTGAATGATTTATTTCAATTATGTACGCTTTTATTAATAATGTTTATTTGCTATCGTTAAAAAAACGGAATGATTTCACACTCTTCTTAAATATATTTTCTCTACTATATTTGAATATTTGATTATGAAACAGGTGCAAATATCTTAATATACAAAAATAATAACTCCTAATTTAACAGTTTTATTTTATTCTTATCTAGTAAAATAAAAATTATAACCCTCATGTCACGTTATTGTTTAAGAAGTTAATATTTCGGATAAATACGGCTCTGTTAGCGATCAATCCAATCCCTTCGACACCAATAAACTAGTATCAAACTAAAAATAAAGGTTATTTGAAAAATGTCCCGTCTGCCGCAAAAGCTAGCTCCAATACGAGACAACATATTAAATAGTGATGGGAGGGCAGAAACAACAATCGGGCCCAGCATCCCCTTCCGTGAACAATAAATGCTACTGCGTCACTTCGGCGGACAAACGTCAATCACCCGTGTCACTCCCGCAGTAATGGATGGCTCCCCTTCACCCCACATACATTTTACATCTATAAGACGTCGCCGGAATTTATTTTCATTATTTGTCAAGAACTATTTCTATTGGGACCGCGATTTTGTTGCTCGGGATTAAATCGACGATACCCCTTTCTCCCCTATGTTCTACTGCGAGTCAGAGACAAGATAACATGGTGTCTCATTGATTTCCAAGTTAGAAAGGGGTTATGACAGCCTATAGTGGCAATGTATGGTTAATAACCATGCCGTTCCGGTCCCACCGGGACGAAAATTTTATAATTTCCTGGATATTTAATCGAGTCACTTACCAACTTCTCTAGATAAGGAAAGTTAAGTTGTGGTTTGGATTCAGTTTGTAGATTTCCGAATAGCGAAAGATCTACAGCATAGGTTTAGATGTTTCATGGCTGGCATTTCTCGCCATCTATAAAATGAACCCCCATGTCCTTCTCTGTCATAGAGAAACTAAAAATAGCCACTGTCATTTTGTTTTACAAATCCTTAATATAAAAATAACAACGTCGCTGGATGTACGGTATACTTTAGCATCTATGTATTTGCATTAAAAACTTGCAGCTCTGGCTTGTCTCGCGAAGACAACGATTATTCTCAGTTGCTGTAAAATGCATTTCCTTGGCACTTACCACGAGTGGCGATTTAGTCTCTGTCGCCCAACACATCTAACCAACTACGAGATCTGCATACTCGAAGTACAAATCTCACCTTTATCCCCTCGACTCAAGAGCTATACTCTTAAACAGCTTTTGTTTTTACAACGTTAAAAGTCAGATGCAAAGTATAGCGCGTTACAAAGCGCCCGGACGTCTCGTCGTTATAAGATTTTCAATAAACATAAATTCTAAATGGCAAAGGATTTTAATCTTAGTTCAGAAATGAAATTGTTTTTTCATTACTCTGTGCGGATGGAATTATGAAACTATTTCTCTGCAGTTGTAGCTCACTGAAGTCGTAAATTATATTAAGTAGTTCATAACTAAAGTATTGTTAAAGTGTGTTTGATGTTGAGTCTATAATATTTTTTTCTACTGTGTTTCATTTTTGCGTTTTAAAAATGTTAGTGTCGAATAATAATTATTGCAGCAATAGTAAGACTGCAACGGGATTAGTTTTTATTTGTTTAAGAGATTTAATATACCGAAACCTATAATAACCCTTTTGAATTTTATCCTATTTTCCTGGGATTCAAAACTCCGACGTCGTAAGCGGGAGCTTACGTCCACTATACGTCCGTAGAGAGAAAATGGGTGAAATTGTTGTGGACTGATCACTTGGTCTTCTATTGGTATCCTCATTAAAAAATAATAATATTATTACACTTTATTTTTGAGCTAGACACGAACATCGCCATCTCTATAATATTGCCGTGCAAATTCTTTCAGTACATTTTGAGTAAAATAACATTTTCAGTACAGTGTAATTCAGTTTTATGTTACATCGTAGAAGCTGGATTTGATTACGGAATCGTGAGATATTGTCTCATATCGTCTTCCCATCAATAAATATGTTATAAACAATTTAATAAGCTTCCTGATACTCTTAAGAATTTTAATAGTCTATAAGCAAAAATTCACTAAGGAAAGCAGTCGTTAATTCTTTGTTTAATTTTTATAAGCTTATTATATAATATGGAACAATGTTTGTCGGCTTCCTTGTAATATAAATAATATTTAACCATGGAAGCGTTAGATTGATTTATATATTTTTTATATCAACTTTTCTCAAAAACTACAAATAGATGAAACAAATGCAGATTTAATTAAAGTGGACCTTAAAAATCAAGTAAATTATTTGCAATAATTTAGAGTAGTAATAAAAATTACAAAGATAAGAAATTAAATATAAAAAGATAGATTGTCTTATCCTTACCGTCTTATCAGAATTTTCTAAACTCAACGGACCAATGTCCGGAAAAACTAGACACTAATTTTTATAGATCCATACATATCGAAAGTCCATTCCATCGAATTGTTAACACAAATTACCATCAACGTCTAAAGATTAAAATCCGTCGTTTTAGTTTTACCAGACCGTTTCGTAAAGTAGCACCCAACTAATCGAACCCCTGTTTCAGGCATGCAATCCCGCTACCAAGTATCCGGTATGGACTCAGCGGCCGGACCAGGCGCGAATGGTGCTGTTCTCCGCATCGAACCGGTGCGTGCGCAGCGAGATGACGCCACTTACGAATGCGTCGCTGAGAACGGCGTAGGCGACGCTGTCACTGCACTGGCAACACTGACCGTTTTTGAAGGTAAGTGTTTTTAGAATTGATAAAAGGATATTTGTTAAGTTCGTCTCTTTGTCAATCATAAGTCCATTATATTCACGTTTAAATCAGTCGAAACAAAACGCCTGATAATACTAGATCTAATGTGGGAGACATTGTGACCACGTGACTACGGCTGATGCAATGCATCCGAAACATCGGGCCGTAATTAAAATAATTTTCAAATAAATTTAACTAATGTATATCGTTTTTTAAACCGTTAAAGTGATTTATTTTAAATTTATTGTAACACAACTTTTCATTCTACTGTAATTCACACTTGATTACCTTTAATTCGATTCTTTTTCGTGTTGATTGACAGAATTCCGTAATCGTATTTCACTTGGCGCTTCTCTCATTAGCATACATTTACACTTGCGTTAAATAAATAAATTGTATTAATTATTATGGAGAAAAACAATGAATGTATAAATATTTATGTTCGAAGATATTAGCTTCATGTATGTGCGAGTGTCGGACTTGAAAATTCATTGATTACAAGATACAATAGTCGGACTATTACGATGACGAGAATGAATGTGTAAAAATACTTTTTTACGAAATTGTTACTTATAGGGGAGACCGGGGCTGGTTGACCAATTTTCTGCTTAAATGTTTATGTTTTCATTTCAATAGAGTATATTATTATAAAAACGGGTGCAATTAATAAATATACTATAAAGCTTTGAAAATAAGTGGCACAAAGCCATCATAATACAGTACAGTACAGGCCTTTTTGTGTGACGGGAAAAACTGGTCAACCTACCCCATTCCCGGGGTAGGTTGACTATTCATCTGGGTTAAGTTGACCTATGAAGTTATAAGGGCAAATGTCTGCTAGGAAATAGGATAAAAGATACAAAACATAAACGCATATATTACTCCAGGATTCATAAAAGAAATAAAAACCCCTCGTATTTTAAACATACGAGGATTCTGCAATCTAGCAATGAGTAATGAGTTTGAAATCAATGAAGGTTTAACAGATACCGTTGAAGCAGATCGAATACCGCTTGACAAAGCGATTTTTTTAATATAAAGCGCTTTTATGCTCCTTCAAATGGAGCGGACGTAATGAAGTGTTCTTTTTTTATTGTTCGTGTTAAAGTAGAAAAAATCGCTAATCTATTCAATATATTTGACTAAGAGATGGTATTATCAAAATAGACATTTGCAGTAAAATTAACAGACGTACTTAGCATAAGTTGTTATTGGCTTCAATCTCGAGAAAACATAGAAACTGGTCAATCAAATTCCTCGCGGCCATATTTTGTAACTTCTTGAGTTTTAGCGCACTTCTGCCATGGTCATTAAGAATTTGTTCACGACATTCTTTGACGATGATTTGCCTAAACTCGCAAAACCTTCTGATGGTCAATTTGGTATGGTGAAACCCAGAAGCTTTGAGAAATAATTTTGTATTTTTTCAAGTTTTATTGACAGACTTTCAGATGTTTTAGACCAGATGAAACATAAGCGTTGACTTATCCACTACTAATCATCCGACAAATATATAAAAAAATCATTTGTGTTCATTTTAATACTAACCGTTTCTTAGTCAGATCATCGATAAAAGTAATTGAAACTTCATTTTTAAAGCTTATTAGTCTTAAGAAATAAATGCAAAACGTTGCTTCTAAATATTGCTTCACGTTCCTGATATCTCTTCGAAGTAAAATCAATACCACAGAGGAAGTTGTACCTGCTAAGTTTGGCATACGGTGCGCCTTTAGCCCAACTTTGATATTTCGTACTTAACGTTATTTCCACTAATCATATTACAATGCTGACCTACATTTCTATTTCAATTGTGTCTTATTTAGCAAATAAACTATATCCATGATTAAGATGAAAGATGTTAAAACCAACGCGTCCTTGTGTGTTATAATATAGATATAGAGCAATCATATCTTCTTTATTTAAATAGTACCACTAATCTTCGAAATTTCTAAAATTAGTATGCATCGTCAAGTTAACGAATAGTTTAAGAATTATTTATCTGAAAACATAACTGTACTACAACAAAATAATTGCCTATAAAGCCATGGACGTTTACTAGTTCAAAGAAAGTCTTAATATTTAATTGCGCGCTACAAACGGAAATCTTGACTCATATAAAAAAAAACGTTAATTTCTTCCTTCGAAAATTCAACAATGATATCTTTTGTTTATATTTGTAAAAAGTCCAAAGTTTTGGCAGTCAGTAGTATAATACTACATGTAGACATTCCCAAAAACCTATCCCTAGTCAAGTTGACAGCCATATTAGTATTGTAGCACCTGACTTTTGATCTTCAGTTCGATTCAATCCAATCATGTATTAAAATGTTTAGCTTTGTGTACATTTTGTCACGCAGTCTCTGGTTACGCTTTCAATCATTGCTATAGATAGAGAAACTGGTACTACTGATGTTGGAACTGATACTAGCTGATGAGGGTAATTTCTTTGAAGGTTTATGACTCTATTAGAATGTAGAATAAGCAGATTCAATATGGAACGTGTCTCTAATGTCAAAGTAAAAACAGCTACGCTAGCGCTATCTGTTCCGTTGTAGTTGGTATTTGCTAAAACCGGCCGGGTTCTTGTAGAATTTACCTTTTATACTTTGACCTTAGAGACATCCTCCATCTTAAGTCTCCCCGTGACCTCATGCGAAATATAAGGTCGTAGTTAAAACTTAACAAATAAATTTAACTAATATATACCGCGTTTTAAATCGTTCAAGTGTTTGATTTAAATGTGTACTACTCGCGTAAACTACAGACAGTATAAAACTTTGAACGTTTTCTTTTAAATTTTAGCGTCCGTGTATCTCAGGCATGACATGAAAATTGTTACATTAAATGAAAAGGGCGTGGGAAGCAAGTTTGATCGTCATTATAAGTTATAGGATCACACCCATAATCCGATTAAGGTGACGTGATCGCACCTAATCTAACTTGTAGCTTGGAGGTGGCAGGTCAAGTGCTTCAAGTTGATCCGTGCTTAACAACTTCCAGCTGATGTAAACAGAATTTGATAACATTTTATAACACGACGTTAACATCCTGTTATCTTCCTGAACTTGAAAAAATCTATGGATGTAAGTGTGCGAGACTTCACGTTTTATTATATCTATTTATAGGCAAGTAGATAATCAGCTTTCCATTTTTATTATTTCCCTGGGATTTGAACCCAGGTAGCGTTATAGTTAACGCGAAACTAGATATTGTGGTTATTTCGCTATGGAAAACAAGCAAATGTTAAAGAGTACTTCAAGTTAAGATTCTTTTACCCGATCTCTTTTGGCCTAAAGTCTTCATTTACGTATAACTATGACCAGATGTGAAAATATAGAATATTTATACTAAAAAAATACAATGTGCCCTGTTTAATTGAAGATAATGAAGGTTTGCCTGAAAACAGTGTTTTAGAATCACTACGCTAGACACTTTTAGCATCTGTTTTCTTCAACGTGAGTTTAATATTTTTTATTGTTTTATAAGCATCTATAAAATAGTACCTAACTAGTTTGAAAGCTTAATAAATAAATTTTGTACTCTTATTACAATAAAGTAATTTAGTCCTATTTTTTTTAATCAGTGCCTATACATATATCCATTGTAGACACATCTTTCACATTTTATTTTGAAATAAATGCAATTTCTCTTCTCCAATAAACAAGAAGTACAATAAAAGAAACACAAACCCCTAAATAATTGGCGCCTCTAAACTAACCGTAGTGCACATAAATCTCAATAACTGCATATTGGAGTCACGTGCGTATAATAGAGAGCCACAGAAATGTACCCGCCCACCTGCCGGCTTTAATCTGAATATAAATTATCCATAATTAAAGAGGACTCGGACACAGCCGGAATAAATGCCACTGGAGACGCAAGTTATAGGAGGTAGCGAGTGGGTGTCTTGAAAGCTCGTATTTATGTGGAAAATAATACGGAAGGCTTTAGCCAAAAATTCACAATGATAACGATAAATCATTAGATTTATTCCCAAAATAAAATGAATAAATTGCGTAAATTTATACGAATATTATAAAGCTGAGGAGTTTGTTTATCTATTTGTTGTTTGAACGCGCTTATCTCAGAAACTACAAGTTTGAACTGAAATTGAAAATTCTTATACTTGAGAGTTCCGCTCTAAATCTCTATAGCTTTTTTGTATACTTCGACATTTTAGAGAGAAAATTGTCCCTCTATACCCTCATGCCTTGTGCCATATCCGCGTTCTAACGCTAGCTCAAACGGCGCCATATTTTTTCGAGAAGCTTTTGCGGGGCGATAGTAAATTCGGAGTTATGTCGCTTTCGCCATGATAGCATTAGCGCAGAGCTCGGACCACGGTGTAAATTACTAAGTGCGTGATAGTGTTTTTATGAATAAGAGATAACGTTTTCGGGCTAGAATGGGGTTTTTGTGTTTTTCTTCGACCGTTTGGCACTGGTTATGGTAGATATACAACATTCAATTCATCAACATTTTTTAACAAAAAGCTTTATAGGACTCGATATATTAATTGGTTAAACAAAAACTCGGAACATTCGGAAATCCCCAGGTTGAAATCGAAACACTTCACAGAATTTTTATACCTATAGCAGCCAGATTATGTCCTTATAAATATATATTCAAATTAACTACAACATATATTATTTTTAGTACATAATATGCATACGTATATATACATACTTTATTTCTAGCGTAAAACGTCATTGTAGCGTACACTACTTTGTTGATGGCGGGGCCCTTTTTGCCATCTAGACCTCTTATTTTTATTATATAATGTATGATGGCAAATAAATAATGTTTTTTTTTCATTCATAATACTTAATAATATCCAAGACGACTCTACGAGAACGACGGTACCTCTTGCTTCAACAAGTTGTTACTACAACTCAAAGTTTCTAGTAGCGATCTTCAACTTTCTTAACCACTGGACCAATGAAGCAAATCAATAGAGGCATTCAGAATAGTATCATAATAGGATA